TTTGACTTCACTGCACACAGAGTAGACATTCTCATACATCATTACAGCAAGTTGATTACGTGCTAATAATCTAAATTACATTATAACTGTTCTCATCTGTAACTGCTACATGTGATAAAAAGAGGCTTACTGTCTGTTTGCATGCATTCAGCAACCGTGGACTCTCCCACAAAAGAGAAATGAAATGTGCGCAATGGAGGAAAAACTGTTTTTTTTTACATCATCAAACAAACCCCCTCCTTGCCAGGAGACATCAGAATGTCAGGAGGTAGTGTCTCTTAAACATGGCAGCAGGATGCCATATCTCAATGTGTGTGGGTCTACTGCACAATAAAGGTTCCACGTATTGAAGAGGGGAACAACAAAGACAGACACAGAGACACAGATGGGAGTTGGCAGCGGTTACAGCTTCACTCCGAGTGGGAAGAGGGGGGTGGTGGAACAGGGGAAAGCAATGTTAGAAGTGTTATTGTTGAGGTAGGTTGGGCCTGAGCTATTGAGAGATGAAACCTTAACAATTGGTGTATCAAAACATACTGAAATGTAGATTCTCACAGAAGGAAATTAAGCTTTTCACCAGCTCATTTTTATGTCAATTGTTTTACGTGCACAAATGTTAAATACAATTTTATTTGAATTGTTGCCTTGTGAAATGTGGCCCCTGCATTAAGTGATGGTTACAGAGGGAAGGCAGTCACCATCCATACAAAGAGTTGCTGGTCAGCTGCTTAGGGAGGATTCAAGAAGTAAATACCATACAAATAGTACTGGTGGGCCCATTTTAAAAACACTTTACTCTCCATATTGCTCCAGTGGAATCACTGTGGCTGTAATGGGCACCTCCCAGGTGTTAATGAGTGTAACTGTGAATGTGAAACCAGGCATTACTTAGAAAATATACTCAATATAAATATAGGCTGTCTAGAAGGGGGTTATTTCACTGAAGACAGAATTCTAGCTAAAGATTGTTTGAAATATTGAAGGACTAGTCATTTTGGTAAATATACTTTCTTGCTGGGAGTAAAAGGATTGATACGTCTGTTTGTGCTTAAAGGTTCAACATTTAAGTGAATGTCAAACTGAAAATGTATGCTGTTTGTCTGTCTTTGTAAAACTTAAGTACTGTAACAGTTCCTTGGCGAAGAACAGCTGGGTGACAATGACTTCTTGGAGTCTTGTCATCACTGTGAGCTTGCCAGACAAACAGTGGAGACGCAGCACAGAAATGCTGTGGCTGGACAAAAATGTTGCTTGTTGCATTACATAACATTCTTAGATTTCTGTCTTGAGGTGATGGTTTTTGAACTTTAGACACAGCCAGACTTGCTTTCTGTCTTTATGCTAACCTTGGCTAATCACCTTCAGGCGACCCCGGGCACAAACATGAGAGAAATATTGAACAGTTCCTTTAAAGGTTGGGTTCACCCAAATTACAAAGGAACATAAATTCTCCCTCAGCTCCAGTGATATTTGGCCATGCTGATAACTTTGGTTTTATCTGCACAAGTTTTGAGATATCCATCTCTTAAACTTCTGCCACCACACCCCAATAAAATTTAGGTAAATTTAATTTAATGTGTAATGCTTAAAGCCTTGAAAAGTTACCAATAAAGTCAACAGAAATGTGCCCATTACTCTGGATGATCTACAGCAGTGTTTCTCAAGCTTCTTACACCGCATACCACCTCAGAAAATATTGGGCTCTCCAAGTACCATCATAATGACTCACATTAAAATACAGTAGACCAATCCTATGGACAGTTTATGTGGGAGGCAGGTTTATTCCAAATAAGAAGATTATTCATTGTTGACTGTTGTTGAATCCTGAAGGGAAAAAGTTCAAGAACCAGAGCTGTTTTGGTGGAAAAGGGGTAGTCCCAATCCACACTTCTCTTAAAAGTTCCCATGTGGAGCCGCGATTGCAGTGTTTTTTTAACCATTTTACCTCTGCTTATTACCTTGCCATGCATTCGCTACGTGAATGACCATGACTACGTAGCAGGCTGATATTGAAAATATTACATGAAATGCAAAACTTATAATATATATATATATATATATATATATATATATATATATATTTGCATTATAGATTTTGTAGTATTTTGATAATATTAGATGTTTTTAATTGATTTATTTCATTTTTTGATTATAAATAATAACAATAACAACAATAAATAAATGCCATAATACTGCCACATACAATATACTATATACTAGCACAGTATGGCACATTGTTCCATTATGTTTTGTTCACATTTGAGCTCAGTAACAATATGATGGTAGATGCTGGAAAGACACCTTTGGGTTCCCCAAGGGATCCAAAGGAAGCTGGGAGGGTTGCAGTATAGTTGTTTGACCTCCTATGAGTGCACCAGTAGAAACCACTGGGAAATCAGAATAGATAAGTACAGAAGCCATGAAAGGGCTAGTGTAAGATCATAACATTGTGTTGTAACAGAAAAACCTTTCGGATCTGACTTAGTGTTGAAAAGTGAACTGCTGAATTTGAGAATGTATCTGACACCTCTACAGAAAGCCATTTTTTAACCTGCTGCAATGCCAGGACTCCTGAGATCACTGTGAAGACCCTAAAACGGTGCCATTTTCAGTACTAGCGCATAACGCCACCCCCAACATATACAGGTTTATTGCCATAGCATCAAAATCTGCCCCCTACGAGCAGCAGCCATTACTGTGCGCCGACACCTTCACACAGAGTGCTTTTCTTCTCAAATCTGAAATCCTTTGATCAGTTTCCTTGCATTTTTTTCTTCTTTCTGGTGAAAAGCATTATTGACTCAAAAGCCTTTGCCTCCCTGCGGTGCTCGAAGAAAGTCATTGTAATGAAAAGCAGAGCAGCTCCATTAACACCACTACCTGCTCAGCTGGCACCATCTCCTACCTGTTGTTAAATAGCTTAATTGGATCTGAGCAAAGGAAAAAACAGGAGTGGAAAGACTTTTTCTGGTATTGGCATGGTGGAACACAATGTTTTTCCCTTGAGAATATTCTGAACACTGCTGTTTGGCTTTGTTGGTGTCCTTGTGGGTTTGAACATAAATGAATGTATCAGTATCATTTCAGTGCAGAAAGCCTACAGAATGAGCATGGTATTATGTCTCTTTCCCTCTACGACTGAGTCTGTTCTTTATTTTTTATATTACATTTATTATTAAGATTATAATGTTTATCAACTATCCACATTGTGCTCTGCACAATATATATAATATGTAGGCAACATAAATGATACATTACTTGGTCCCTGGTTCGTATTCAAGTGGAGAATCAATTAGTGATTGGAGCCTTGAAAAACAGATCCACTCATTCATCTAATGCGCCACTGGAAGTAGATTCTATCTTGGGGTTTCAAAGAGCCTTCATAGATAAAGTGACTGCATTGTGGGAATAAAGAGACCGAAGTTGGATTGTAAATGCCTGCAGATGGCTGAACGTTCAAACTGCATGGTTTCTGTAGCATTCACACTTCCTCTACAAGAATTTAAATTACTGCTGTAATTAGAAGAACGTGTTGGGATTGTCAGTGTCTGTGTTCCCTGTGAATCACAAAGAGGAAATAGAGTATATAGACTGCTAATGAATTGTATAGATCAACAAACGTTGTTTGTTGTGTCCCCTATGGTGTATAATGAATAATGCTGTCACCAGGCAAATCAGGATTCAGGCTTAGGACACCTTACCCACAAAAAGCTAGTCATAAAGGAAGTGCTTATTTTTCAGTCATGAGTAAAAGTCACCGTAATATACTTAAAATACAATCATTTCTTACTCAAGTAAAATAGCAATGGCACTGTAGAAATACTCCTGTGTGGAATATGTTGAAAGTATTATTTAAAAAACAAGTGAAAAGTAAAACTACTCAATGCAGAATTGTGGCCCTTGTGAGTGTAACTATTGTATATATGCTACTGTTTATAGTCTATATTTTTATAAAGCTATAATATGTATGTGTCACTTGTAAAGTAACAAGCAACAAACACTGTCAAATGACATTTTCCCATGAACATACTGGAGCAAAAGTATGCACAAAATGTAAATACTGAAGAACAAGTACCTCAAATTTGTGTAGACCAGTGCTTGAGTAAATGTATTTAGTTACATTCAACCCTTGCTAACCGATAGTTTGATGTTTCTAGTATGTATTGTTGGCTTTTACAGCATTTATAATAGCACTGTAAAATGCACTAAGTCTGATGTGTTCCCATACATATAATGTATTTCCAGAGCTAACAATGAGGCTACTATATCCCACAACAGAAACCTCTTGAAAGGATTTCAGGCTGTTAATCTGAGTCGTATCGATGGCAGAACTTAATCTGGTTTTAGGTTCGCTCTAACTCCATCTGCTGCACCATCGCGGCGATAAAAGAAAAACATGACCCCAAAATTCATTCGCAAACCCATCAAACAACACAAGTAATGGCCATCCCCGGTGCAGGAGCCTGTAATATAGTGCCAAATGAGTCAGGCGCAAAGCTGAGGATGAAAAACAAAAGTATAATCCCTCTGCTGCTAACGGTGTCACTCAAGGATTAGCGTGCCAAGGAAAAAAAAAATAACACACTAAGTACTACGCGGATAAATTAAAAGCTCTGGGCAACGTGGCGTGTCTCCAATCGTTTCAAAAAAACACTGACCGTGTGACAATGGGAAGTGTTTGTGCCTCAGTGTGAGCGCCCTGACGGAATACCAGCAACTATAATCTCAACTTCAGATATCCTCATATCAGTTGGTTTGAGCCTCCGGGACCAGGCGACAAGTAAATTGAAATTGAAAAAGCTTGAGGCAGCAGATTGGGAGATATTTCCCGAGTCAAGGAGAGTGACCTGGTGGATCATTAGACAAGAGTTGTGGCGCCTCACCGATGATGAGGGTTAAACTCGCTGTCTGATAGCAGGGGGGGATTTTCACGGATGGACCCTGGTCTGGTTTTAAAAATTAGTCCTGAGTAAACTAAACAAAATCAGGTTTTTCCTTACCTGTGTGTCCAGACGTAAACCATCCAGGAGGATAATCCAAGCGAGATTAGGAGTGAACGGAGGGAAACAACACTTCTCAACAAACTATTATCAAAGATAATCTCGAGCTCAGGTCAAATCCACGGCTGGTGGGGTGTAATTTCCGATGTGTGGAGAGGGAGAGAGAGAGAGAGAGAGAGAGAGAGAGAGAGAGAGAGAGAGAGAGAGAGAGAGAGAGATGTCCTCGGGAGAAGTTTGCGCCGATAAGCAGCCAAAGGGAAGGCTGTTAATCCTTTCCCAAAATATCACCAATGCACAGTGGAGCCGATAGAGGAGGGCGAACAACGAGAGAGTGAAGAGGAGTTCAGCACCACGGCACAGTGGACAGCTCCGACGGCACAGCGATCTCACCTCGGCCGCTCTCGGGTCTCGTGTGCGCCACCGAGGCAGGAGCCACCAGCCCCAACCTCACCTACTGGCTCAGTCCCGACCGGATTTACATACAATCACGCGGGAGGGAGGGAGGAGAGGGAGGGATGAACCAATCGCAAATATCCCGTAGTAGGCAGTATAAGCAACAAAACGAGGACAGACGGAATGTGAAGCGTTTCGGTCCTGTGCGCCAAGCGAAACTGTCCTTGACTAAGAAGGGAAAGAGAGGGAGAGAGAGTTGGGTTTCTTTATGGCTGCCCCACTCACTAACTCACTCACTCACTCATACGCACACACACACACGCACGCACGCGCGACTCATGCTCCAGTGATGGAGTGGAGAATAAAAAGGTGGTGTATCCACCATTTTATCCACTGTACTGTTACTGTATGACCTCCAGGTGTATCGTCGTGAGGGGAGAATGACCTCTAAAAACAACAATATGCACATTTAATTTATGTATTTATTTCCTTTAAAGACGTTTTTTAGTCACCATATAAGGGAGAGTGAGCCGAATAATAACAAGAGTAACCAGTTCAGTAATCAATTACGTTTTCAGGAAAAACATTTTTATAATTTTTTTATCGTTACTATTAGTATTAGTATTAGTCAGTAAAAGTAACTAAGTACATTTACTCAAGTACTGTACCTGACTACTATTTTGAGACACCTGACTTGAGTATTTCTAGCTTCCACTGCATTTCAGAAGGACATTTTAAAACACAGAGACAACACAGAAGCAGATTTTTCATACAAACACATGATCAGTTTATAAATATGGTGTATTGTGATAAATAAAGCTAAGCTTAATATTATATGATAATAAATAATTATATTTCAGTACTTTTACTTAAGTAGGATTTTAAATGCAGTATTTGTAACAAAGTCCCTTTACACTGAGGTCTAACTACCTTTACTTCAGTTAAGGATCTTAGTACTCCACAAATGTAGGTGTTGTTGTTTTTGTGTCATGCGCACAGGTGTGCTCAGTACACATAGACTTATATGATGCTAATATGTAACTACAACAGTAGCACAGAAGTATTATTAGAACAAAAGAAGGCTTTTTGAAGTATCAAAAGTAAAAAGAACCATTATGAAGAATGGCACCTTTTATTGTTATATTTGATGATTATTACTGATGCATTAACATGTTAGCAGCATTTCAGTGTTGTAGCACATTTTAAATACAATCTGTAACAGTACTTCTCATATTCTATGTGTAAAATATGAATCTGTAACATAACAAGTAACAAAAGCTGTCAAATAAATGTAAAGGACTGAAAAGTACAACATTTACTATTGGAATTTAGTGGAGTCAAAGAAGTACCATAAAATGTAGGCAAGAGAGTCCATTAAACCCAACCATTTCTATGGCTGCTGATGGAGTACTTGAAACTGGAGTAATTGTGCATACAGATATCTTTGACTCTGATTAGTAGCCCCCTGAAGAGTGCCTTTAAATAACTATATCAGGGCAATATTATGTATGATGCATGAATGTGTGCTACATTTACAATGCATCAAAATTTGTTTGTCCTAAGTGCAAATGCAGTTATTTATGCATTTTATCATTCATTATTCATGTATTTATTTCTGTTTAGTGTATTGTTTCACCTAGTTCTATTCATATCAATTTCCCTTTCTCCATTTACACATTAAGACATCAGACTCCTAGATCATGCACTGTACTGCAGGCTGCTCTTGGTGTCGTAAAATTCTGTACTGAATCTATGCCACTACACTATAGTATATATAACCATTTATGTTCTGGTGGGTATTAGATTAGTTTTTTCAGTGCCAAAATAGGCACTGTAGCTTGTTCTAAAGTGTTGTAGTAAATATGTTATACTATAAGTACTGGAGTTGGGCAGACAATTTATTGTCTTCTCTTTGTAACCACTACAGTTTTTCATGCAAACATGAAGATGTCTGAGGTATTCATGTCATTGACTCATCAGTGTTCAACGACTGAGTGAATCAGTAACCAAACACTGAACTAAAGACAGGTTCAGAGCTCCATTCATTGTAATGACAGCTGCCCACATACACAACAACAAAGTCACAAAATAGTTTCCCCCATGTTGGAAAAAACCCTAAAATTATGTTGAATGGCACCACCAGGTGGCCCTATAAAAGCCAAATTCTGTACCTGACTGACTGACCATTGGTTGGTGAGTCTTGGAGTAGGCACGATTGTTAGTTATGTACCCTAACTCCAGATTCATCCCTCACTTGTGATCACACAGGACTGAACCCTTTTAGCCCACTTCCTACATGGGCCACACCTCGGGCTCACCTTGTGTATAAGTTGAGCTGAGATGGACATTTGGCTCCCAAAAACAGCTTTTTCTTCAGCTAGTTAAAGGAATCCTTGGGGCCCACAGCTTAGAGGGCTGTGTGTATACTCAAATAACCAATGTGTCATGGCGCAATGGCGCATCACAGTACATCATATGCACACAGATGGCACAGAGACAGTACAGTACCTGATACTCACCATGAGGGAATGAAACTGGAAAACAACTTAAAACCTACAGCTGTGAGAAGTGGAGATGATGGTCACGCACTGTAACAGTCCAGCAGAGAGCAGAGTAGGAGAGAAAACAGCTCTCCACGCGCCAAGAGGCATGAGGGAGAGTGCAAAGTTAAAGCACCCCAAATAACAATCACTCTGACAAAACACTCCATACAAAGTGAGTCATAGAAAAATGAGGGACATCCCGCAGATATAAATAAATGAAAGAGCATGGGGAGTTGATAGATAATTAGAATATTTGTAATTATATTTGGATTAGTTCTCCTTAATACATGAGCGGAAAGTATTGTTCTTGCAACTTCATTAACGTACCATGTCATGTAATCTGCTACTCCAAAACACCCTAAGAACAGAACTGGCCATACAAGGTCCAGCCATATACAAGATTTTCTTCTAGTCTTGTTAAGGGAAAAACTCGTTAAACGTTTACATTTTAAATATTTTAACTATTTGCAATTATGCCTGACTAATAGGGGTACCATTACCATAAATACTGGTTTATGGCCCCAAAATGTTCAGAAATTACCCTGCTTACATCACGTGATGACAACTGAGCAAACTCCATCTGCTGAGGAAGATTGTGACATGTGGTTGAAAGCTCCAATTTTTTATTTTTGTCACACTGCAGCTGTCTTGCCGGTGGTCATATACTCTACAGATTTTAAAGCGATTTAATGCATTCCAAGCAAATTTGTGATTTGGAATTTTAGGATCTTCAAATACAATTTACTTGTCTTTCATCCTCTGCATCTTCAAGTTTTCATTATATCCTGTCAGTCTTTACCTACTAAGTCTTCATACCTAAGTAACAAAATGGGTCATATGTCAGAGCCTTCAGAAACCACAAAATGCACAACATGTGTCAGCTGTGTTTTTGTCACTCTTGTATTGGCATTCATTGAGGCGCTCCAGGAACTTTCCCTGGAGACCAAAAACCTTTTTAGGAATGCAGAAACTTAACCTGCTTTTCAACCAAAGAAACTAGGGATTAAATTTAATCCCTGTAGAATAGTTTCAGGTGGTAAAAAGTTACAGGTAGTGTTGACTGTTAGATGCACACCATGGTCTGCGTTGTTAAAGTCAGCCAGTTTGTTTGCCCAATACCTCCTTCCTGAGATTGTTTTGCAGTGTCACCATCCTTCCTCTCTTGCTTGCGGGAGAGGACAGTCACTGTTTGCCACCAGGGGTCACTTGTCAGGAAAATGTAAACACAGGACATTTGAACATGATGGCCCTGTGAGGATAGTCTTTTGGTTGAAATAGCCTCAGCCCGGCCTGACCTGAGACGAATCCAACCCAAGTCTCTTTCTTCCTGACCTCATGTGTCAATAATTTCCACTTCCTACAACCCTTTCCACCCTAGGTAGGAAGTAAAATGTATTTATTAATATCCATAATGTGCAGCGCAGAGACCCCGCAATAATGACAACTTTGCTGAAATAGCATAAAAAACGAGAACCTTGGAGATTACTACTTAAATATCTAACATTTTCCCATGAAAAATCTGAAAGTGTCATGTTCATGCCTCACGTGTAAATATACTGCCTTAGTAACCATAATCAGACATGATTTACGTGCTGACGCTCATTCAGCACGTACGCCAAATGTGTTGTTGCTCCTGCAAAATGAAGTTATAGCATGATTCATTAAGGCAAATAAGAGGAAGCTCTCCCTTGACATTCTCCCTCCGAATCCAGAGATTATGTTGCCACATCTGTGCTTATAAACAACCCGTGTGTATATGTCACATGGGTGCTGCTGAGATGTGCTGCAATTCATCATGCAGACAATTAATTCCCTGCATGTTAAATAAGGAAGAGGGGGAAGGAAATGTCTCCATCACACATTGGAGCTTTGTAGTTTTGTTGTTCAAGCTGGGAGTTCATTTTGTGAGTGTGTGAGTTTCTGTGTGGTGTGTGTGTGTGTGTGTGTGTGTGTGTGTGTGTGTGTGTGTGTGTGTGTGTGTGTGTGTGTGTGTGTGTGTGTTTGTGTGTGTGTGTTCAGGCTGTTGTGTTAGAGAGTATAATAATTTGTGGGTGTGTGGTGTGGATTTGAAAGAGTCTGTGTGCACACAGTTGAGTGGTAGAAAGTCCACCTCTGTGTGTGTGTGTGTGTGTGTGTGTGTGTGTGTGTGTGTGTGTGTGTGTGAATTTAGTTATTTGCACGTGTGTGAGCTGGGTATTTTGTGTGTGTGTGTGTGTGTGTGTGTATTTACACAAAAGAATGAGAGTGAGAATAATAAGTGTGTGTGCCCATGTGTGTTGGTGTGTGGGGGAGACTGTAATAGATTGTGACACATTGTATGGGGGGCGTCAGCAGGAGCGCGCTCACACAGATGTGATATGTGGCCAGTTTCGCATCCCATTATCCACCAAACTGTGTAGTGTTGTGCACGGCTCCAGATTGCGATGTCAACTCGATGTACATTCACTGCGACTGCTGTGTTAGTACTAAGCATATGGCTCCCACTCTCCTCTCTGGGCTGCTGCTGGAACAGAGTGACATTAGTTTGGATCTATCTTCCCAAGCTGAGGCTTTCCATTTGACCTCTGTGAATGAATGCTGCAGTTGTGCTGAAGAATCACCCCTGCATGCACTCTCTG